ATTGTAAAATATTCATGCGCCGGGTTGGGATAGATCCGCATACCTGCCGGTAATAAAGTACCCGGAACAGATACATTACCGATGGTTACTGATTTACAGGTTTGTGAAGAGCCGCATCCGTTGTAAGCCGTGACACAGATATTGAAGTTTCCATGCTGGCCGGTAGGATACGTATAGCTAAATGCCTGATTAATGCTGGTGCCTGTCCTGGTAACAGAAACACCATTGCCATAATTCCAGACAACACTATCTACACCGGCAGTGCCTGTATAGGTGAATGTCACACGGTTTCCCGACTGGACACTATGCGTGTACGCAGCAACAGGAACACTTGTACAGTTGCAATTGGCATAACCATACTTGGCGAGAAAAAGGTCGGTCAGGCCACCCGCTTTGTATAACTGCGGTCCGGTACCAATGCGGAAAGGACCATCTAACTGGCCACCTACATACAGGTTACCTTTCCGGTCTGATGTACCAGTTGTTATGCTATTGCGATCTCCTACATTACTACTCAGCGAATCCAGGCCCAGGATAACCCCCTGATCATTCAAGCGCGCTACAAAAAAATGAGCACCCGTATTTAATGGCGGAGAAAAATGGTAGGTATTGTCCCACCACATTTTATGCCCGGTGCCATAAAGCCAGATCTCCTGTTTGTTTCTAAAAGCCAGTCCGTTACTACCCACATCACTTAGAGAACCGGCATTACGCGTCCATAGATGGCTGCCATCTGCGGCTACTTTTGAAATGAAAACACAGGTATAACTCAGGCTAGACAAAGGGTTATTAAAGGTATAACCATTGAACGAGGTGCCACCAACAGCCTTGCCTGATACATAGATATTGCCTGCATCATCGATCTGGGGTCTTGAATAAAGCTCCCCGAATCCATAGTCCGGTGTACTGTTTTCTTTTTTCCATTGAAGCTGTCCGCGGTTGTTAAAAGAAGCGAGGAACATGGTATTAGCCACCGGCAATCCACCTATGTTCAGGATGCTCATCATGCCTGGTAGCAGGATATGAGATCCGCCAAAAACAAAGTTGCCTGTTTTGCTCCGGTTGAAATGTACCTGGCTGAAAAAACTTTCTCTGCTTTCCAGGGCAACCGGGATATGATCGGTCATATCGCCTGCGGTATTGTACTTCAAAATATAATCGGTGTAGCCGGTCGCAGCCCATCCGCCGCCACCTGATACCAGGCCCGGATTCATAAGGGTCCACCAATAGACATCGCCGTTATCTGCAACCACCATATCATAGCTGCGGGAAAAGTTAGTGCCTGCATAAGCGCCCATTTTACTGGTGTCTGCGCTGGGTTGACGCAGCCAGTTAAATTTTCCGGCTGTATCATATTGCACCAGGAACATCAGCTTTTCGTTGGTCAGCGCCAGGGCCGAATCTGTACTGAAATGCACCTGGTGTTGTGTTTGTAGTCCTGGCATTGTGCGGCCACACACATAAACATGCCCTAATGTATCGGTACCGATGGAAGTAGGTGCATCGTCGTGTCCGCCGCCAATTACTTTGCTCCAGCGAAAGACGCCGTTACAGTCATAGCTAAATACCAGGATGTCCTTATTACCATAACCGACAACCAGCTGCCCGTTTACATAAGGGTCCAGTGATTCCACCAATGCCAGTGCATAGGTATTGCCCCATTTATCAGTAG